AGCAGGTTCACCAAGAATGTCACCAACACACAGTCTGGGACAGCTGTATCCACCGCACTATGCAGGAAGTTGGGGCCTACGAAAGAGAACCACATGGAGATGAAGAGATGGATCCAGAGCTGTTTCCAGATGAGATACTGGAGGAGCAGTACTTGGGCAGCTATGGAGGAGATGAAGGTGATGATCCTCCAGAGGTTTCTGCAGAGGAGCTTGAAGGCTTGGACAAGGCAGCACGGGACACGGAGATTGAGCGAATGATCAAGATGCCGGTCATGATTGAAACAGACCAAGCAGAAGTACAACAAACTGAAGGCTACATCATAAGCACCAAGGTGGTACTGTGCTGGAAACATCGTGTCGAGCAAGGAGGGTGGTTCAGGCGTGCGAGATTGGTAGCAAGGCAGTTCAGAAACAGTATAGAACTAGATGCCACGTTCGCTCCCACATCCATCATGGCAATACCAAAATTGCTTATCCACTATATGCCCAACGTCAGAAGGGAGTTTGTGGTGGTCACGCTGGACATCAAAGTTGCCTTCCTCATGGCACAACAGCCGCTTACTGAAAATGCCTATGTCCAAGTGTATTCAAACTCTTGAGATGCCTACCAGGACAACGAACGGCAGCATCACAATGGTTCCAGCTGTTTGCATCAGCCTGTCGAGAGCATGGACTTGAGCAGGATCCCATGCAACCTACACTGATGTTCATCATGAGGCACCTCATCTACCTCACGGTGCACGTTGATGATGTGTTCATTGTTGGAAGAGAAGATAAAGTGAGGGACCTCGTGCGCTACTTCAAGGAGGAGAAACAATGGAATGTTGAAGAGAAGGGACCTTTCAGCCACGGGGACAAGTTCTTCTACTTGAAAAGGCAGTTCAACCTTGGCCGAACACATTGTGACATCAGGTGCGACAGGAAGCAGTATGACAGCTTTGAGAAAGACATGGACATCTACGTCAAAGTCTACAGGAAGACACCACTGGATGCCAACTTCGGGAAGAAGGATGACTCAGAGCTGTTGGAAGGCAGTGAAGTCACAAAGTATAGAAGCATTGTGGGAAGGCTGATGTACATGGCAGGGGAGCGACCAGATGCACAATATGCAATTCAGTGTCTGGCAAGATACATGGCCAAGCCAACAAAGCAAGCTCTCCGAAATGCCTGGCATACCTGCTCCTACATGTTCGGTACAAGTGGCTATGGTGTTCGACTGGAAGAAAGGAAGAAGGGTCAGTCGATGATGGACTTCAGAGATGGAGCTGAAGTGGAGGATGCTGATGAGCACTTGCTGGAGATTGCGACGGACTCGGACCACGCAGGGAACAAGAATGACAGAAAGTCCACAACCTCCATGCAGCTGTATCTGGATGGCAACCTGATCGACAGCAAAGTGAGAAGCCAAAAGGCCATTGCCCTATCCTCAGGAGAGAGTGAGTTCATGGCCCTAGTCGCAGGATGTTCAGAAGGAATGCTCCTCAGACACCTGTGGAATCAAATTACAGGCGGCGCGCGCAAGACCAAAGCCAGGTCAGACAGCTCAGCGGCTCGAGGCATGACACAAAGGCAGGGCATTGGGCGAGTGCGTCACATGGATGCGGCAATGCTGTGGATCCAACAGAAGGAAGGGGACAAGACCATCCAGGTGAGTCCCGTTCCAACTGACCGGAACAGTGCAGACATCGGCGCCAAGAACCTTCCGAAGAAGAGGCTTCGAGGGCTTCTCTACATGATGGGCGTGATTGACGCCGTGGGTGACCGCGTGGGTGAAGAGGAGTTCCATGAGATTGAGAAGGAGTACCAGATGAAGATGAGCCTGAACAAGTTCAACAAGAGCAAGGACTTGAGGATTGGCCTGTTAATGCTTATGGCCAACCTTGGCAAAGCAAGTGGAGCACCAGCTGAGAATGGACACACGAATGAGAACAAGATGGATTTCGGCTGGTGGGCACTTCGCCTATGTGCATGCATTGGGGCCTTGAGCCTATGCACTTGGCTGCGAAACTACATGAGCGCTCTGTTTAAGAGCATTGGGGCCTTCATGCAGGACCTCGCGAAGGCCATGACCCGAGTGAAGAAGATCTACATGAGTGTGAGTGTAGAAGTGAAGGATAATGGAACTCAAGCCTCACAGTGGCTTGATGCGCATGCCTGTGCTCGATGTACAGAAAGGATCCAAAGCTTGGAGTATGAATGCTTCTCCAAGGAAACGTATATAGATGAACTTGAAGCACAAGTAGATCGAATGAAAGAAAGCTTGGAAGATTTTTTTGAGAGAGCGAGAAATCGCTGAGAAACGTAGCGCCAAGCTCGAAGATCGAATGCGCCAGCTCCGAATGACAACAGCTGGATAAGTACTGCACTTCTCGACCAGTTGCCCGCATTTTGCGAAGGCGCAGGGAGTGCGTCAGTGCCACATGTCTAAGGAGGAGTGATGGAATATAGGCAAACGAGCATGGACACTTAGTCAGACATGTAAGGCACATGTTCATGTACTGGCCAACTAGGCCCAAGTTCGCGAGTGAAAAGTCGCGCTCCGTGCTTTTCAATAATGTTAAAGTCCTTTGAGGATCCCATGACGGCGCGAGCACCGTGCACTCTGTAGTCCTTTGTGTTCTCAATCTGTGTCGAAATGCCTTCTTGGCCTGGTTTCTTCATCAGCGTCATCCTCTTGCTCCATTTCTCGTTGATCATCCCTTCAGGATTGAGGTATTTGTCAGCTGTTGCATCTGCGTACGCTGCTACTCCATTTGGAAGGCGGTGCCAACCTGGGCCCTTGGAGGTGTTCGTCAACTCTTTGCTCAAGTATCCCTCAAGCACGAACACTCTCTTGGCTGGCGTGTAGTGCAAGCCCTCATGGCTTGTGACATCATCTTTACTCGCCTCTTCTTCTCCTCGATCTTTGCGCCTTGGTCTATTTCCCAATCTCCATTGTTCACAATCATGCCTCTGTTTCACTTCATCTGCATCATCTTCTTTGCTGATTGAGACCATTTCAAGTCTGGCCTTCGTGTGAATGCTGTGATTCTCGAGGTGCAAAGGGATCATCGTCCCTCGTTGTCTGATGAGGGACAGCGGCCTGTTCTTCATGTACGAAAACAGTATGCTGTAGAACTTGATGCTCAATGCTTTTGTGTCATCGTCCATTGTGTCCATATCATATGCACTGTTTGGTTTCTTGCTGATCGTTTCCAGCAACTCAGCTGTCTTTGGATCTACACTCTTCATGAACTGCATGAGTGAGTTTCTCATCGCAAATTGGGCTTGAAGATCTCGGGCGTCTTGAAGTGTTTGCTCCACTGCTGATTCTGCTGAACCTGAACCAGCTGCTGCAAGGACCTTTGTAGTCCAACTAGGGCTTCTGTCGGCATCTCGAAAGTCACGAAAGTGATTGTCTTCGACTTTTCCTTCCAAAAGACTTCCACTCCCTTCTTCAAACAAATACTTGTCTCCCCCAACTCTCAACACTCGAAACTTTCGCTTCGATTCCTCTTCGAAGGTTGTGGGCCTGTACCGTTCGATTGGCAACTCCCTCCATTTACGGGGGACCTGGACTTCTATACCTCGTAGGACTCTTCTCCGAAACAGAATTCTGGGTTGCTGCTTTTCTTTCTGCCTCACGAACCGTAGGGAGACCTCTCTATCACCCCAACCGACCTCGTAGGCCAGGTACTTTCGTACCTTGAATTGAACTTCTCTGCTGGCTGCGGCTTCCTGCAGTGCCTTTGAAACTCTGTTGCAAGACCAATGGGTGCCGTGACAAACCCCAAAGTCAGCAAGCAGGCTCAGCAGGAACCCTAGTCTGCGCGTCCTGCTCGATCTCGCCCTCCTTGTACTCGATGTCGTCCACCTAGCAGGCCCCTGTCGGGGCTCCGAAGCTTGCGCGCCTATTGAGCTGCAAAATGAGCCTTCGGTATCATGTACATTCTTATGTGCACATCATGCAAGTAAGTATATAATTCATACAGTCAGTCAGTCAGTCTGTCAGTCTGTCAGTCTGTCAGTCAGTCAGTCAGTCTGTCTGTCTGTCTGTCTGTCTCTCTGTCTCTCTGTCTCTCTGTCTCTCTGTCTCTCTGTCTCTCTGTCTCTCTCTCTCTGTCTGTCTGTCTGTCTTTGTCTGTCTGTCTTTGTCTGTCTGTCTTTGTCT